CTGGCAGTTACGCCTGTGAAGAAAGGCTGAACGTTCACACAATACATTCTTTGACAAATTACCCAAGTGCCACGAAGAATGTTCGGAATGCGGGTACAGATAACCCGCACGTTTGCGTTACCTGATGGAACGTGTCATTTCTTTAAGAATTTATTTAGAAAACTTACTGCTAGAGACGGCAGCACGTGAAACTAATCTTCTAATATGCACATGCTCCTCGGTGTTTAATTAATTTTGAAAAATATCTATAGACCATTCCAGAAGAGCGCTTCTGGTCGGCGCCATTTTCATCGTTCGTGCGTGTGGCGCGTGCTTTGCTCGCCTCCCAAAGCGGCGAAGATGCGCGTGCTGGGCTCTCATATAAAGCGTCTATGCTGTGGTTCTAGTAAGCAATAAGATGTATGGAATGGAAAGAACCGCGTCAGTGTAGGCCAGATGTTCAGTAACCACCGAGCTAAACATCAAGGCGCAATGAAAGGCGTGCAAAATATACGAGTACACTATCCATCCTCAAATAAAGTATATTTGCTCGAAGATATGATTGTGCGTAAAGTACAGAAATGAATCATGAAATTTTTAATTGAAAATAAGTTAACAAAAATGACTAAGAAATGTGTAATGACATTTTTCTTTTATGTTGTCGTCTCTTTTCTCTCGGAATAGAATGCAAGGTGCTCTAAAAGCCATCCACGAATACACGCATAGCCTCCTCTATGATGCACGTGGCAAGGAGGTAAATATTGTAAGATTTTATAAAATTAAGCTTTCGTTTAACGCAGTTTCCATCAGCTGTAAATTTGCATGCCTCCCCTCAACGACATTAATCACTTTCATGGTTTTAAAAAAAAGCTTTTCAGCGCATTATCGCATTTCGCCGCAATAAAACAAAAATAAAGATGTTTTCGCCACCTCTTCTGTGGGAGAAGATAGCACGCCAAACACCTGACGAACCAGGCACCGACTATTTCGTATATTAATGGATCTAAACGCCTGTTCCATGAAACTCTGTAATACCAGACACAAATAGCAATATGTTGAAATTCTCATTTATTTTATTTATTTATTTATACAAAAAACCCATAGAGGCCCTCCGTATGCGGGTATTATATACGAGGGGGGGGGGGGGGGGCAAGGAAATATATAGTACACAGGTAGAACACAAAAAGTATACAAAAACAACATGAGAACAAGGAATAAAAAAAAAACCTAAGAGTTCGTATAACTACGCACAAAGTACAGGGGGAACAGCGCACCCGAAAGACAGTCATTCCAGTCAACATACACACAAAAGAAAGAGAGACTTACTCAGCGCTGACTGACAACTCACTGTAAATTTACACTTTCTCCTCTACTATGTGTACTATATGCAAGGGCCAGGGAGAATAACTGGTCTTTTTTCTTTTCTTTAAATATGATTCTAGACAGTGAACTAAATTGGAATTAATGTAAGGCTAGGTAATCTAATTCTTAAATCTAACTCTTGAAAGTTAGACATATCTAGTTCAGCTGCAATGTGAGCCGCTAGGTTGTTCCAGTCGATTAAGGTGTATTCACACGAGGGACTTTGTCCGCGGACAAGTTCCCACGAAAGTCGTGACGTCACCTCTTTTGCGGTATGAAATCGGCCATGTCTCTGGCGAAAACAGCAGGCAAAACCAAGGGACATGTCCACGGACCTGAAGAACGTGTCCTCGGACCTGGTGTATCTTGCGTATCACGTGGGCGAACGTCACAGGATATGTCCGCGGACCTGCCGGACCACGATTATAGGGGTTTTGAACGCGATCCAATTCTGTCTTTTTTCGAGTGCGCTGTGGTCCGCGGACGAGCCCCGAGAACCGATTGCGTGATAGTGCTCGTGGTACTTAGTTGCACGAGCGGTTTTATCTTTTTTTATATGCCTCTCACGCTTTTCGTACACGGATGGGCCTTTGCTCACTTTTCAGTACGATTAGTACGCACGAGCTACAGCTGTGGAAGATGCTCGAGGGTTCCTGTGCACAGTGAAAAAAGGAGCCGAAAAGAAAAAGAAAGAAAACTTCTGGAATATGTTTTCGTTCCGAACATGGAGGTAGACAAGGCTTCACTAGTTGTTGTGGCTTGTGCACTCAAGATGGCGGATTAGGAAGTCGTGGAATTTGTTGCCAGAGCTCTGATTTTATGTCGTTGCTGCGGTATTGGTCATTTTGAAGGCACCACAGTTGTGGAAACTCTTCGACAAGTGCAATTAAAAACAGCGTCGCTTCATCGCTGGAGGCGTTCATCGTTGTCGTCTTCAATCATCCATTCGTTCATCAGATGCTGGCGGGATTGGAATCGACCAACCGTCACGTAGCGTTGCGTGGCCGTTCTCTTGTAGCTTGGAGCGCATAGAAGCACAACCAAGTCTCTCGGCGCGAGGTGAGAGCGTTGGGAAATACCAATCCTAAACAGTATAGCTCGTGCAGCGAAGGCAGCGAGAAAGGTACGAGCTCGGACTCGCAGTTCTCGCCTTGGTTCACGGCAACCATGGAGTATTAATTCGCATGTCCTCAGACTTGCCCATGTCCGCGGACTTGTCCACTGTGACGTCCGAGCCACGTGATACGCATATTTCACAGGTCCGCGGACATCCCTCCCGGAATTTGTCCGCAGTGTGAATACACCTTCAGGGTCCGTGGAATGAATGATCGTGCGTAACTAGATGAGTGGCATGTGATGCGCGCTACTTTGAATCAATGATCGCGACGGGCAAAATAATGGGTGGATTTCTTTAAAAAAAGATCGCCGTGAAGCATTGCTCGGTGATAGAGCTTGTAAAATAATTACAGACGGGCATGTTTACGGCGGCGTGGTAGGTCATGCAACCCAGCTTGATTTTTTAATGCGGCGACACTGGAAAATGGAGAGTAGTCAGAGGAATTGAAACGCGCAGCACGGTTTTGCATAGACTCGATGTTACTTATACTGTACGTTTGCTCAGGATCCCATATGACAGAAGCATACTGCATTTTGGGGTGGATTAGAGTGATATAAGCTAGTTTACATAAGTGAGCGGGTGCTTGTTTAAGATTGTGCTTTATGAATCCGAGGGAACGGTCAGCGGAAGTAGGTGTGAGATCAATGTCCAGACTCAGACTTGAACTTTGTTTACACATTTCACTCTTCGTGTACGACAGATCGGCCGCGTGAGTGGAACTCCGAGATTAGCCCGAGCTAAATTCGATGTCCAATACGAATATAATGCTTGCGAGAAAAAAATACTAAAGCAATTGTGAACAACAAATATGACTGCACCAAGTGTTGACTACACACGTTTGCAAGAAAGGCTCCTGTGCGCCGCCATTTTGAGCGATGCTGGCGCCACGTACCGTTTCCGCTATGCTGGGGTGTGCCAGGGGCAAGTCACTGGGGTGCGCGATGACAAGATGGTGCCGTTTGCTGCATCGCCGATGGCTTACGTTAGCGGCACACTTACTGTCTCGGAGCGCAGAATCGTCCCCTATTGTAGGACGGGGCATCTTTCAGGGTTGGAGCTGACTTTATAACGATCGCAGCCTCTGTTCCTGCATGTTGTGGAAGCCAGAGCTGCCGCGAGCGCAGCCATCGTTGATGCAAAGGCCATGCGACTTTTGGCGCATTCTGAAGAGAGCGCCTTGAGACTTTCGATCTTTTTGAAAATTTTCGATTTGTTACCGCTTTAGGCATTTTATTTAATTGTCCTTGCTATTTCGCTGTCGAAGACGACACGTGTACGTTTGATAATTATTTTTTTGAATTTCTTTCTGCGCTCAGTGGTGTACGCTTCGGCGAGAGACGTTTGGCAACATTGTACGACAACCAGCGAACGTCCTGGCTGGAGAGTAGGTCCGCCTCACCTTGGCGCGCGGTTCGAGGTTAAGCCGGGATCCCACTTGCAAAGGTGTATAGTGGTAGAGTGTGCACTATTCTTCTTCATATATTAGCGCTCCTCTTTGGACGGATGTCTTAGTGGTCACAGCCGGCTTGAGACTGCGCTTGCCGCTCTTAAAGCTTTTCCAGCTGCAGAAGGATACGAAACTCGCAGCACGTGGATAACCAAAAACCTACAGACAGTGTAATGAAGACTGTAGATATCGTCTTTGAAACCTACACAATACTCTACAAGAATTCTGTAGAAAATGGATGCATATTTTTAAGGATGCAGCAGTGATCAACATCCCCTTCTCATTGTTTTTTTACACCGAGTCTATATAAACCCCGAAAAATCTTGTTATTTAAAAGTCTTTTGTCTCCTCCAGTTACTTCCTATCGCAATTACCGTGTCAACGTACGGTATACGGGTCGTGGCCACTCGAACCAGAAGACAACAGCTTGAACGAGCAGAAAACAGCTTGAGCCATCAGACGGCCGCCTGAATCTGAAAGCGCACTGAACGTGGTCCGGATGGTCGGGACAAACTCGCGCTCTTTCCGCATTCGTGTTGGAACAAAATCAATAAATCTGAGGACCAAAAGTATACGCGAATTCAACCCAAAGCACTTCCCGCAGAAAGCAACCTGATCCGGCAAAGTCTATTTTTTTTTTTCTTTTTTTTTCTAAGGCCCTTTCAATTTTTTTTTTCGAACAAACCGGGAAGGCTGAAAATATATAAAAAAATGACGTTGACTCCTTTTCCTGTTCTTTCGATGCAGCTTCAGTAGCGGCGTTTTGTCAAGAAGTTAATAAGTGTTAGTCTGGCTTCTTCCAAAACAACAGGGCCAAGCCCTGCCCGCATGGCGTCTCCCGCCGACACCCCGGACCGGAAGTGCACCCGAAGCGTCCTTGACGGGACATGACGAAGGAGAGTTGAGTTCGCTTTACCGAAAAGCCCGCACACACAGATACGTAAGAGATCGTTTGCGCGCAGCTGACCAACACACCACCTGGAAGACAGGGGCTCCCCGCATGACGTCGAATCAAAGGGCTTGCAAACTGGCGGCGTGGGAACGACCGCTCCGTAAACAAAGCTGGACTCCCTTTCTGTGCTTCTGTTTGAACAGGAGGGGGAGCTGTGGCGAGCCATGGTGGCCGGAGAGGGGGAAGCGATGTGACTGGCCCGCCCCCACCTACGGACATGACCAAGCGCTCGGTGAGCTTCGCTGCATCCGGGAGTCGGCCGACGCCACGACGCCCGGCTCTATGTAAACCTAGCCTTAACCTCCTCTCCACCCCAATCGCGAACGTGATTGGTGCCATCCAGCTGTTTCGTCATGAAACACGTCATGATGCGGTATGTCTCAACTTGCCGGAGGGTGTCGTGCCGAGGAGTGAAGTCTCCCCGGGTTTCCCGTGAACTTTCTCCGGCTCGCCACGGCCGCGACTCCAGTTTGCCTATTTCTAAACCAGGGCATCCCTGCTTCGTATGACTCACATTAATGCACCTTTTTCCAGTAAGCGTGGCCGAATGCGTACACTTTATCCCAAGAACTACCCTCCCGCTCCTGCCATTTTCGCAGGGCACAGTCCCGCAGGACCAACATTGTCAGCATCTATATTCACGCTTATCTCGTCTATTTTCGAGCTTCATTTGTTTATTACTGGTGGTATGGCGTATGAGAAGCTTTGGAAACCGCTACAACGGCACGATGCCGATATAGTTTGACGAGCGAAGGCAAGTGGGGCTGCCTTTCATTTGTAGTTCGCAATCAACTCCCCAGACGGCGCTCGTTGCTTTAAAATGTCCATTGCATGCACTCAAACGCAACCTGTACGTGGGCGTCTAGGCATTCTACAAGGCTCGTGTATATACTCCCTTTCGGCTTAAGCCAAGACGCAGTAGGTGTCACAAGCGCAAGCATGTGGCCCTGAACAATGCTTGCACTGCACGAGCGCGCGCGCTTCGCAGGGACGCTGAAAGCCCTGAGCTCGCTGTTGTAGCTTCTGCCGCGATCTCTCTTACAATGAAATAGAGTATAGCGTAAAATTTCAGATAAATTAAAAAATCTGAAACTGAAAAGAAAAAAAGAAACTCGAAAGCTCAGTACATTTTACATAGGTTGGCAATCAATGCGCCAAACTTTAGGTTTCACTCGTAGTTTAAATTTCTTGAAACAACGCGCACTTGCATTCCGAATTCTTGATGTTTGAGATATCGAAGTTGTCTTTTTGTCCCCGCTTGGTACATGATCATCATGTTTGTAATGCTTAAACGATGTTCGTGTTGAAAATAAATCACTAATTGCATGCCTACCTGGACTCCCACATTCTGCCAGCGAAGAAAGATTCATGCTGACCAGAAATTCCGTCGGCACCTGGATGTACTCTCCCCTCTCTCCACAGCCTCTCTGGTGGCGGGTGAAAGGGCGACTCTCGCTCCCACCGCTAGGGGCGCCGCCAACGCGAATGTCAGCTCTCTGGAAGAGGCTGTCCCCTGTCACCTGTCTCTCACTCGTCTGGGGCCACGAGGAGGGAACGACAATGGTCACGCGCTTGAAGAAGAACTTCCCTTACGTCGCCTGGTGTAGTAGTTGGGAGCCTTGCCTCAACAGCACCTTTAGTAAGAGTTCATGAAGATAAGCAGACCGAAGAAAAACAAGAATCATTTTTATATTCGCATGATCAAGGAGTGGTGTAACAAGAACCACTATGGACAAAAGTAGCAAACGCCATCAGGCGTCATTAGGTTATTGTAGACTGTGTTAAAAAGGCAAATATATAAATATCCAGTATGCGCAAGGAAGTCTCGTTGCAATCACACTCCGAGACATTTGGGTCACAGAATACTTGGAAAGAAATATAAGTGATTCTGAAGAACAAATCGTCGATTACTTCTAATCTATTATATCGTACTTTTGGTTAAATGCAATTTCAATTATCGATCATAGAGTTACGAAACGGAAGTCAGAATATCTTTGTGGCAACGTGTCCTCTATGCAAAGCCTTATTAACATCTTGAGGTTAGAGCGCACACGACGAGGGCAAAACGAGAGGTACACAAAGAGGCGAACACAAGCGCTGACTTACAACTCCTTCGTACTATGTTTCTACTTCCTCTTCACGAGACTAGTTTAAATACAAGATTGCTTTTAAAGGCAAAGAAGTAGAACAATCCAAAACTCTTCTCACAAACCAATGGGATCGTTACGCTAATTATCCCAATTATTTGCCACATAGCGTTAGGTATGGGCTACTGACACAAGTATCTTCCAGGCGCGCGATCATCTCTGCCTCTATTGCTTCTCTATACAGCGTTTCACTTTATGTTGTACCCCAGACAAGACTAGAAACGCAAGCTCATAGCGTTGAAAGCTATCCTTAAAGGGGTATTCACACGAGGGAGAAATCCCGGGGATTTCTCCCTCGTGTGAATACCCCTTAACGCACGAGAGCTTATGCCGCCGAGATGTGCCCTACAGCAAGAAGCTCGCGCTTCTAGCCTTTCCTGCGGTACAACACGAGGTGAAAGAGAGTATAGTAAGCGTGTTCTTATTTCTAGCTATGACGGTACTTTTATCGAGATCAGGGGTGCTATGTTGCGCTTTTTGGACTCCCAGGAGACTAGGAAGAAGGAAGTGACGTCAACGATACAGCAAACACACTTTGGATGTTGACGGAAGAAAACAAAATCAACATCCAATCTGCATTTGCTCCGTTGTTGACGTCACTTACTTCTCCCTAGTCTCCTGGGAGTCCCAAAAGCGCAACATAGCACCCCTGCTGAGCACCCGCAATCCCTGCAGTGGATGCCGAGTTGTACAGAAATGACTTCGTGGGTGTTATAATGGTTTTCCCCTAATCGATCATTTAAACACCGGCCACCTTGTCCGATATATTTCTTCCCACGTGAGAGTGAAATGGAATAATACCCGTGCCACACGGGCAACTCGAATGCCATTTACAACGAATGACATTTGAATGATCGGCCAATCAGCGCGCGACATTCCGAGCTTGGGGCGTTCCACGCGCGACAGATCGCGAGCCGATTCGTTGATCACACGAATGTCATTCGTTGTAAATGGCATTCGAGTTGCCCGTCTGGCACGGGTATAAATCGCTTCTTCAGAGAAAGGCACACAGCATGTTTGTTTGTTTTTTATTGACGGTGTGCTGGGTGATTTACTGTCCTACACGGACTAAAAAGCTTGCTTATGTGTAGGAAAGTAAATCACTCAGCACACCGTCGATTCGCCTGCGCAAGAAAACACCAAACATGCTTTGTTCCTAGCTCTGAAGGAGTGATTTATTCTACTCCACTACCGTGTGGTAAGAAATATATCGGACAAACTGGCGGGTGCTTAAATGATCTATTAAGGGACACCACTATAACACTCGCAAAGTCATTTCTGGACGCCTCGGCATCCAAATCAGAGATTGCGGGTGCTCAGCAGATCTCGGGAAAAGTACCCGCATAGCTAGGAGTAAGAACCCGCTCTCAAGAGAAATAATAGAAGGCAGCGATGACTGCGCGCCTAGAAGATAATTGTGTCAGTAGCCCATCCCTAACGCTATCTGAAAGAAGAATTAGAGTATTTAGCACGATGATGGCAATCGCTTGTCAGAATACTTTATTTTCTTACTTGCTCTCTTTCATAATCATCTCATATTTAAACTAGTTTCGGGAAGAAAAAATAGAAGACGAATACAAAGGAGTTGTAAGTCAGGACTTGTGTTTGTCTCTTTGTGTGTGTCTCGCTTTGCGCCAAAAAGCCCGTAATCAACAACTCTTTGCGTGCGTCTCGTTTTGTCAGTGTCTTGTGCGCTCTAACCTTAAACTGGGTCGCCAAATAGCCCAAGCTCACATATTAACGAAATTTATAAGTTACTCTGCAATCACTGTCGTTGATATAAGTTCATCTTGAAGGTGAATTACGTAACTAAACTAACTGAAAATGGGGTCAGATACTGGATTAGTAAACGTTTCCTAGGCAGCACGCCAAAAAAACGCTTCGCTTGGTCTACGTTTGGCGATACTAGTGTTCCAACTAAGGCATAATAAGCTTTTGAACGAATAGATTAATTATTAATAAGGCTGATAGCTGGGCTAATTGGTAATGACTGAACGCACTGAGGCAACATGGTGCATACAAGAAGATACGATTACCTTTTTTTCTTTATGCCAACCGCGCTTAAGGAACACACGCTATATTGGAAAGGCGCAAGAACAAATTGGGGGGGGGGGGGGGGGGGGGAGGTGCTAGAAGCGTGCTAGATCTACCTAAAAAACAGACAGCATTAGTGAAGCATCAATGATGTAGTCGATACATAAAAATAGTTATGATTAAGTTTACGGTAAAACTCTTGGACGTGCAAATATGATCAGCTATCAGGCGCAGAGCGGAGAATGCACGTGCGAAAGTGTGTAATGCGGTGTTTTCTTCTTTCTGTCCTTCCTTCCTTACAATAAAACCCCAAGTTACGAGTTACCACTTTGTGTTGCCCCGTTCTTCTTCAACTGCATTTGCACTATGCTACCTCAGCATTACGTCGTGTCAAGGTACTTATCGTCTGCCTTTCTATGATTTTTTCTGCTTTGCCACACACTGTAAGCGACGTATTTTTCGCAGGCTCAATATTTCGCGATTTAGGTCGAAGCTGAGGTTTTAGAATAATTCGCGGGTTTTAAATTTTGCGACGTGATGGGATCTCGATATTGATTCTAATGTGTTTACATTTTACCGGACTTGTTCGCGGGAACTATTTTTCTCGAATTGTAGGAGATTCGCGAAATTCGAGAAAATTATGTTTTCGCGAAAATTAAGTAATTTAGAGCAAGCTCCAGACATGAGCCAAATATGCAACATATCAATTAAGAAATAAGCATTGAGGCCTATTTATGGCATTTCGTTTGTTTAATGAGGTCCAAAGTGGCCATGTGACAACCAATCAACTACGCATCTAGAATCTTAACCCGCGGTGTTACTTGAGTACCTTGATATTCTGGATGATCATATCAGCGGGTGGTACAGAATTGTGAAGAGCAACAACGACGTTGTAACCGCCGTCCCTTCCCTCAATGCTCGCAGGTGCAACTTCATGTAGCGAAGAGAGAATAAATATCAGCGTAAGAAACATTCCTTTTTAATGACCTGGAAAGAGAGTCCGAAAACGAGTTATGCAAAAAGCGTCATCCTCCGAGTCTTTCTTCTTTCAAAATGTACTGTACAGCTACAAAAAAGGGAGATAACATTAGACGAACCCGTTGTGCTGACTACGAGCAACAAAATAAAAAAAAATAGTTACAATTAAAGTGCATTCATATTACTGATCATGAAGCACTATATTGTAAACATTAGAACGATAAAATGTGTGCATTTAACAGTGGTATCTCAACTAGTCGAATAGATACTGCGCATAAGTGCGCACCTACATGCTTTGAGTTCACCAGTTCGCTCCACACTCCACTAAAGAAGATGGTCTCAAATGACGAAAGGCAGAATTTCGTCCAACGAACTGCCATTTGATCCCCAAGGAGGCCATCTGGTTCGAGCTAGGCACCGTGCGCAAAAGCTGGGGATTATCTTCACTTGCTCGGAACTAACCGAGAGACGTGCTCGAACAAGATGAGCCATTAGTCCTCCGGAAGCAGGGTGCACTGCGTGATTAATTCCTCGAAGGCAAACGGAATGCTCACCTGAAACACAGCTAACATTTCGCTTGTTTCGCATCTCGCTCTCGGCGACAAAAATCTTGGCGGCAAGGAAAGGAATATTGCTTTCTTTCTTGCTGGTTCCTCCAGTAAAGTACACCCTATAGATGCCTGCAAAATTATTTATTCCTTTGACAATATCGTGCTTAGGTAGACGTCGGCTCAAAAAGAAATGTTCTTCTCCCCTTTTAGTTTGTAACCCAGTTTACAGCACGTTCTTAAACTCTCGCCTTCTCTGCCGACCGCTAGCTGCACAATCTCACAAGGTTTCAGCTCCCTCCGACGTGTGGTCCATTTACGCTGGCCAAAAAACACGGTTCTCTTTTACATGCCAGGTACTGGACGCCCCTGAATACCCAGCTCCGAGGTGCCACTAAAACACAACTCTCCTGCCTTGAAAAAGCGAATCGGTACGCAATAGCAAGGTTTGAAAATGCAAAGCTAAATGAGCTCACCTCTGCCAAGTGCACCAGTCAGAGAGATAATCCTGGAGGCTGATGCGTTCGAAATGCGAGCTTGCTCGTGACTGGGAGCGTTTTTGTTATTTATTTCGTGTTTAATGAAAGCTTCATAGTGAAAGAAGAACCGACATTTCCCTATTGAAAAAACCAGCTTAAGCTGGTCCCAGCTTCAAGCTGGGTTATTGCCCCAGCATGCCCAGCTTGGCATGCTGGTCATGCTGGTTGATCTGGTCATACTGGTCATGATGGTTGATCTGGTCCCAGCTTCAAGCTGGGTTATTGCCCCAGCATGCCCAGTTTGGCATGCTGGTCATGCTGTTAAACTGGTCATGCTGGTGAACTTCCCAACCAGTTTAACCTGTTTAAATTAATACACAGAATAAAAAAGCCAAGCTCGTCAGAAAAGCCAACTCGGCATCCAATTTATTATTTTCGTACTTGCGGCAGCCTCACATGAACTCAAA